TGGGACCCCTATAATTCAAATGTTGGTGCATTTAGTGTTGTCCCAGAGGTCTCTGAGACTGTCCTCAATTCTTTTCATTCTTTTTTCTTTATTCTGCTCTGCAGTAGTTATTTCCACTATTTTATCTTCCAGGTCACTTATCCATTCTTCTGCCTCAGTTATTCTGCTGATTCCTTCTAGAGAATTTTTAATTTCATTTATTGTGTTGTTCATCATTGTTTGTTTGCTCTTTAGTTCTAATTCCTTGTTAAACATTTCTTGTATTTTCTCCAATCTATTTCCAAGATTTTGGATCATCTTTACTAGCATTACTCTGAATTCTTTTTCAGGTAGGCTGCCTATTTCCTCTTCATTTGTCTGATCTGGTGGGTTTTTACTTTGCTCCTTCATCTGCTGGGTATTTCTCTGTCTTCTCATTTTGCTTATCTTACTGTGCTTGGGGTCTCCTTTTGCAGGCTGTAAGTTCATAGTTCCCATTGTTTTTGGTGTCTGCCCCCAGTGGGTAAGGTTGGTTCAGTGGGTTGTGTAGGCTTCCTGCTGAAGGGGACTGGTGCCTGTGTTTCAGTGGGTGGGGATGGATCTTTTCTTTCTGGTGGGCAGGACCACGTCCGGTGGTGTGTTTTGGGGTGTCTGTGAACTGATTATGATTTTAGGCAGCCTCTCTGCTAACGGGTGGGGTTGTGTTCCTGTCTTGCTAGTTGTTTGGCACAGGATGTCCAGCACTGTAGCTTGCTGGTTGTTGAGTGGAGCTGGGTCTTAGCATTGAGATGGAGATCTCTGTGAGAGCTCTCACCATTTGATTTTACATGGGGCTGGGAGGTTTCTGGTGGTCCAATGTCCTGAATTCGGCTCTCCCACCTCAGAGGTTCAGGCCTGACACCCGGCTGGAGCACCAAGACCCTGTCAGCCACTCAGCTTAGAAGAAAAGGGAGGAAAAAGAAACACAGAAAGAAAGAAAATAATAAAATAAAAGATAAATTATTAAAAATAAAAAAGTAATTAAAAAAAGAAAGAAAGAAGAGAACAACCAAACTAAAAAACAAATCCACCAATGATAACAAGCGCTAAAAACTATCCCAAAAAATGGAAAGACTGAACCCTAGGACAAATGGTAAAAGCAAAGCCATACAGACAAAATCACACAGAGAAGCATACACATACACACTCACAAAAACAGAAAAAGAAAATTATATATATTTTTTAAAAAAATGGAATTCCGAGAGCAACGAAATCAATAAACAAATTTACCAGTGATACTAAGCTCTAAATACTAAACTAAAATAAACATAAAACCAGAAACAAATTAGATGCAGAAAGCAAACCCCAAGTATACAGTTGCTCCCAAAGTCCACTGCCCCAATTTTGGGATGATTCATTGTCTATTCAGGTATTCCACAGATGCAGGGTAAATCAGGTTGACTGTGGAGATTTAATCCACTGCTCCTGAGGCTGCTGGGAGAGATTTCCCTTTCTCTTCTTTGTTCGCACAGCTCCTGGGGTTCAGCTTTGGATTTGGCCCCGACTCTGCGTGTAGGTCGCCTGAGGCCGTCTGTTCCCCACCCAGACAGGATGGGGTTAAAGAAGCAGCTGATTCGGGGGCTCTGGCTCACTCAGGCCGGAGGGAAGGAGGGGTACAGAATGCAGGGTGAGCCTGCAGCAGCAGAGGCCAGCATGACGTTTTCACAGCCTGAGGCACGATGTGTGTTCTCCCAGGGAAGTTGTCCATGGATCACGGGACCCTGGCAGTGGCAGGCTGCATAAGCTCCCGGGAGGGGAGGTGTGGAGAGTGACCTGTGCTTGCACACAGGCTTCTTGGTGGCTGCAGCAGCAGCCTTAGCATTTCATGTCCGTCTCTGGTATCCGCACTGATAACCACAGCTGGTGCCCATCTCTGGAGCTCGTTTAGGCAGTGCTCTGGATCCCCTCTCCTCATGCACCCCAAAACAATGGTCTCTTGCCTCTTAGGCAGGTCTAGACATTTTCCCAGATTCGCTACCCAATAGCTGTGGTGCACTAGCCCCCTTCAGGCTGTATTCATGCAGCCAACCCCAGTCCTCTCCCTGGGATATGATCTCTGAAGCCGGAGCCTTGTCTCCCAGCCCACACCCATCCCGGCGGGTGAGCAGACAAGCCTCTCAGGCTGGTGAGTGCTGGTCGGAACCGATCCTCTGTGCGGGAATCTCTCTGCTTAACCCTCTGCACCCCTGTTGCTGTGCTCTTCTCCATGGCTCCAAAGCTTCCCCCCAATCCACCCCCCGTCTCCGCCAGTGAAGGGGCTTCCAAGTGTGTAGCAACTTTTCCTCCTTCACAGCTCCCTCCCAGAGGGGCAGGTCCTGTCTCTATTCTTCTGTCTCTGGTTTTCCTTTTTTCTTTTGCCCTGCCCAGGTACGTGGGGAGTTTCCTGCCTTTTGGGAGGTCTGAGGTCTTCTGCCAGCGTTCAGTAGGTGTTCTGTAGGAGTTGTTCCACATGTAGATGTATTTCTGATGTATTTGTGGGAAGGAGGGTGATCTCCACATCTTACTCCTCTGCCATCTTGAAGGTCCCTCCAGTATTTGTTTTTCTCTGTCTGACTTATTTCACTTAACATAATGGCCCCAAGGTCCATCTATATTGTCACAAATGGCAAGATGTCACTCTTTTTTTGTGTGAATAATATTCCATTGTATACATACACACACACACACACACACACACACACACACACACACACACGGACTTCCCTGGTGGTGCAGTGGTTAAGAATCTGCTTGCCAATGAGGGGGACACAGGTTCAAGCCCTGGTCCGGGAAGATCCCACCTGTTGCAGAGCAACTAAGCCCGTGTGCCACAACTACTGAGCCTGCACTCTAGAGCCCACGAGCCACAACTACTGAGCCTGCGTGCCACAACTACTGAAGCCCGCATGTCTAGAGCCCATGCTCTGCAACAAGAGAAGCCAATGCAATGAGAAGCCCACGTACCACAACGAAGAGTAGCCCCCGCTCGCTGCAACTAGAGAAAGCCCACACTCAGCAACAAAGACCTAATGCAGCCAAAAATAAAGAAATAAATTTTTTTAAAAAATAATATATATATATATTCATTTATATGTGTATATGTATATATATATACATATTTGAAACATTTTCTTTATCCATTCACCTATTGATAGGACACTTAGATTTTAAAGAAATTTTGTGCCAATCAGCCAGTGTGTTAGCATTAGGAGTACCTGATAAGGCAAATATCTGGCCTTAGTTTTTAGATAGTTTCATTCCTCTCTGCCTTGCTTTATAATGGACATACTTAGAAATTACATGGCTAAAAATATTACTATATAATATGAGTAAAATCAGCTAAACAAATAATTGAAACAGTAAAACTGAACAGTAATACAAACCTGGAGTTGAACCAACTATAACTACCTATTTTGAGAAAATTCTCTTCCTTCCGTGAGATAATTTCCAATCTCTTTAATGTGAACACATAATTCAAAATATTTTGATCAAATAAAAGATAATAAATGTATGTTCTGGTAAGAGAAATGTGATAACTATAAATATATGTGAAAGAATATATTTAATGAATGATTATATGATACTAATATTCTCAAGTAAAATGTACATTTGGCTTATAAAATAAGTTTTGGAGATTATGAACAATTAGCACCCATTTAACAAATACTACTTTATATTCAGTATGTAATAGTACAACATAAATAAAAGCAATTACTACTTCAATTATCACTTTAAAATTACCTCAATTGCCCTTAAAAATACAAATAAAACAGTCATAGATTGATCGCTTGTTATTTTAATCATAAACCACTGTTCCTTAGAGAACCTGAAAAAAAATCATTTTTCCGAACGTTTATTCAACACACAGCTACTGAGGGCCTACTACGTGCCAATAAGCAACTCGACAGGTACAGGGACAAAGCATGGTCACTACTTTCAGCTCTCACGAAGCTTAAGGACTAAAGAAGCGCAGGTAAGCGTGAAATAAATGTTTTAGCTCTAAAATATCTGTAACAGTAACATGTTATGGGAGAGGAAAGAAAGGAGTAATCATTTTCACCTAGCAAGGCTTTAAAAGGTTTCCTGACAGAACAGCGTCGGATTTTAGCAAAAAGGGAAGGAAAATACACTGTTTATGCTTAACTGTCAATAAATGTCAACTACTATTACAGTGCACAGACACTTCTCAAATTCTATTTCATTTAATTATCTCAACAACCCTTTGGGACCAGCATTTCACAATGAGAAACCAAAGATGTACAGGATAAATAACTCGCCCAAGTCCACATATGTTGTAAATGGAAGGGCCAAGAATGAGTCCAGGTCTCTGTAACTCAATATTCTTTCCACTACATCGGGCTGCCTAAGCTGAGCTTTAAGAATGAGTAAGACTTAAATAAAGAAAAAGAAGAAAACAGAGAAGAAAGACGACAGAAGAGACATAAACATATAATTCATGAATTATCCTAGAGTAAAAAATAACTTCTGTCCTTGGAATATACACATATACATATGAAATACAGATATTTATATATATACACACACATACTAATAAAAGATATAATGATACAATTGAAAAACAAATTAAGATAATTCATGAATTACACTGATCAAAAATTCCATACTCAAATCTAATTGTTTAAGAGACTGTTCTATGACTGAGACCATAAGGAAACTACATTAAGATTTCCAAAATGCCTAATTTACAAATCCCTTAGTCACCAAACGCATTCATCAATTAACACTTTTGAGCAAATATAATTCATTAATTAAAATAAAATTAAGGTAACATACCAATAAATACAATACGTCATTAAATTTCTACTTTAACACTCCTATACAATTCCACTGTATTTAAAAAAACCATCTGTTCTATTAATGTCCTTTTTAAGCACAAGAATGTTACAGTGATAAATGTTAAAACAAGTAGTTTCTAATATGAAATGAATCTAAAATAATCAAACTCTACTTTTAACATTATTTGAGAAAAAAATAAATTCTACCTCTGCATTGTGCTTAGTTGTTATTTCTAATTTTTCTTTCTTAGCCCGATGGAGTTTCTTTCTGAGATCAGCAGTAATATCCAAGTCTGTTTCATTTTTAACCATTTGTTTTATATCAGATGAGGCATTCTTCAACCTATAAAATGAGATCAAAATAAAATATAATTACTATTAAGTAAATTTCCAGCATTTCCCGTATTTCTGATAACTTATTTTTCAAAAAAAACAGGGAACATGTTACGGTCCTTACCCTAAAGAAACTTACATTCCAGTAAAAGATATTGATTGCAAAAGCTAGATAGAATTGCAAAGCAGTATATGACTAGAAACAAACCACTGTCCACTGGGAAACCACCATATTGTTCAAGATAGGCAATAAAGGTTATCTGATCCTATCACAAGCTGGCAAGTTTTGGAGAAGACTGAGTTCTTTCCTTTTAACCTTTTTAAATAATATATTTTACTTATTGCAAATATAACACATATTACAAAAAGAGAAAGTATAAGAGAATACAGACTCATGCTTTTAAATGGCAGAGTAAAGTTCTACTCTCTCCCCAAAAGTAAAATTAAAATTTTAACTAATTTAACAGCAAAGAGAATTTAGAGATATAAACTCACAAGGAGAATTAGTACCAGAGATGAGACAATAGCAATAAAATACTGGAAGTTGGAACGCAGGTGGATAAGTGGTAAGTGATTTATATAAGAGAGCTGAATTCAAAGCCAACAGTAAGAAAAGCAACCTGATTTACACCAGAGTCCCAAAAAGCTCAGTTCACTGGCAACACCTTTTAAAATGGGGGTAAAAGCAGAGCAGAAAACAGGAGAATTGGTTGAAAGTCTGCCAAAGAAATAATAAGATCCTCAGATCCTCTAGCCTATACACCACACAACTGGGTATTGATTTCTTCCCCACTCTGGCAGAACACTAGGGGTTTATCCCCTGGAGAGGATAAAACAGAATGTCTCTGGATTGGAGACATCAGATACAAATCGGGTAAGTGTTCCATACCAAAAGCAAGAGACTCACGTAAAAAGTTGTATAATAAATTATATCCCTGGTCTTCTAATACTTATTGTCTAACAGAACAATGTCAGCCAAAGCAGAGACTAGAAGGATCTTCCCTGGAGAATCTAACCAACAAGGTGAAAAAGACCTAAATATGCCAATGTTACGGGTTCTCCAGCAAAACAGCTTAACCAGATCACCCTACACAGAATGTCTCATACACTGAGCTTCCAATCATCTTTTTAGGCCTCTACTTTTAAATATGAACAGAGAGCCAAGGATCACCAGAAGTTAAGCAACATCTGATAAGAAAGACAGAGACTACAAGGGGCAGGGAAGAAGTCAAAGATGATGCAGGGAAAAGATAACTTTAAAAAAAGATTAAGAAAAAACCCTTAACATTAAAATCCTCAGAAAAATAGGAGAGGATAAAAAAATCCATAAAACAAAAACTGGATGTAATTAAAAATGAAATATTCATAGAACAAAAAAAGAGCTCTTGGAAATCAAAAACACAAACTAAGAAATGAAAAACTAAATAAATAAATTTAAAACAAAAATCTCCCAGATGCCTAAAAAAATTACAAGAGAAAATAATTTCCAATTTAGAATTTTATGCTCAACAAGTACCATTCAAAGACAAGAGTATGGGGAAGGGAAGATGAAACATGCACGCTTTCATAACTATGATCAGAGTGTAAAATGGCAGAAAAGTTTTTAGAAGTTTGATAATAAATGTCTAAAACTTTCAAAAAAAAAAGACAAGAGTATGAGAAAGACTATTTCGGATCTACAAGACATCAAAACATTTATAAGGGGCTACTGGAAGACTTGTTTCACCAAAATAAGGACCCACACTGAGAAAGAGAAAGAAATGGGATCCCAGAAGCAGGGTATTCAAGATAAGAAAACAGCAAAGCGATGTCTAAGATAGTGATGAAAGGAAACACCCAGTGAAATTTGTGCAGCAAATCACTTAAAGGGTAATCTGTTCCAACTGTACTGGCCAATGCCTCCAGGAGTAATTTCTTTAAGATGAAAAGAGAAAATAAAAGAATACATCAACTATGTGAACATATTGAGAGATTTATAAAACTTGGTGGGAGTATGAAGTTGAATTCATAAGTTCATGGAAATTAAACCAAGTAAACAACAAATGAGACAACTATTAATTAAATCCAAGAAAAACAAAATGTATACGAGAAAAAAAATTGTCACTGAATACTACTACATAACTAGGAAGTTTTGATAATTATACGATAATGTAAACATTGATTAATCTAACCAAGATTATATATCACTAAATGAAGAGAGAATAGAAAAGGGAGGCAAGTATGAATGAAAACTAAATTATGAACTTCTATAGTGGAAAGTCAGTAGATAATGGCTAAACATGAAAAATAAAATAAAAAAATTTTTGAAGAGGTATGGATTTTAAAAAAACATCTCAGAGAGTTGAAAATGATTCTTTCTAGGGATAAAGAAAGTTATTTGTCTCAAGGTAATAAGCACTGCTATTTTTCCTAACAGCAGTAAGTAAGCCTTTTAGAACAATTAGTCTTTAAATAACATGCATATGTAATTTTTTTTAAATAAGACTAAAACAACAGAGAATCAATGAAACCAAAATTTGATTCTTTAAATAGATGAATAAACTTGAAAACCTTTGGTTAGCTAGACAAAGAAAAAAGAGAAGAAACTCAAAGTATAAACAAAGAATAAAAAAGGGAATGGCACTACCAACGTAGAAGGATTATAATGAATACTATGAACAACTTTATGCTAACAAATCAGGACAAATTCCTAAAAAGACAGTAATTACTAAAACTAACTCAAAAAGAAAGAGAAAATCTGAACAGACCTATAACAGACAACAACATTGAATTAATAATTTTAAAAATCTAATCATAGAGAAAGTCCAAGTCCAGATTCTACCAAACTTTAAGGAAGAAATAATACCAATCCTCACATTAGAGGAGGAGGAAACATTTCTCCAAATCATTCTGAGTCCAGCATTACCTAATACCAAAATATGGCAGACATCTCAAGAAAGGAAGAGTACAGACCAATATCTTTCATGAATAGAGATACAAAAAATCCTCAACAAAACATTAGCAAACCAAATCCAGCAACATCTTGAAAGAATTAAATTACAACATGATTAATTGGGATTTATCCCCAAAATAGAAAATTGGTATAATGTCTGAAACTCAAGTGATGTAATATACCATTTTACTAAAACAAAGGATGAAAACTATATGATCATCTCAACAGATACAGAAAATGTATTTGACAAAATCCAACACCCATTCATGATTTAAAAAAATAAAAAAAAACTCTCAACAGACTAGGAATACAAGGAAATTTCATCAATCTGATAAAGGGCCTCTATGAAAAACTGCAAAAAGTAGCATCAAGCTTAATGGTGAAACACTGAAAGCTTCCCCTAAGACTGGGAACAAAACAAAGATGTCTGCTAGTAATACTTCTATTCAAGACTGTATTGGAGGTTCTAGACAGTGCAATCAGGAAAAAAAAAAAAAGGAAAAGAAATAAAAGGCACATATACTGAAGGAAGAAGTAAAACTGTCTTTAATGGCAAAAAACATGATCCTGTAAGATTATCCTAAGAAATCCATTAAGAAGCAAAAAGACTAGAACTAAAAAACAATTTCAGCAAGGTCACAGAATATAAGATCAATATGCAAAAACCAATCACATTTCTAAACACTAGCAATAAATAATCCAAAACTGAAATTTAAAAAATAATTCCACTTATAATAGCATCAAGTAAATAAAACAGATTTAGGATTAAATTTAACAAAAAAGCACTACACTGAAAAGCATAAATTATTGTTGAACTAAATTGAAGACCTAAGTAAATGAAATGACATTCCACATTCACATTCATGTATTTGAAGACTAGTATTTTAAGATGGCCACTTTCCCCAAATTGATCTACAGATTCAACATATTGCCTACCAAAATCCCAGCAGGCTTTTTTTTGCAGAAATTGACAAGCTGACCCTAAAAATTATATGGAAAAGCAAAGGACTCAGAAAAACCAAAATAATCTTTAAGAAAAACTAATGGGAGGACTTGCACCTTCTAAATTCAAAACTTACCATAAAGCTACAGTAATCAAAATAGTGTAGAATTTGAATTAAGAATAAACATGTAGATCAGTGTACCAGAATTGAGACCACAGAAATAAAGTCATATATATACAGTCAATTAATTTTCAACAAAGGTGTCAAGACAATTCAATGGGGGAAAAGATAGTCTTATCAACACATGGTGCTAAAACAACTGATCTCCACAGGCAAAAAGATAAATTTAGACCCTTACCTCACACCATATACTACAAAGTAACTTAAAATGGAGCCCGGACCTAAATGTAAGAACTAAAATTATAAAAATTCTAGAAAAAAACTTAGGAGAAAAATCTTCATGACCTTAAGCTGGGCAAAATTTCTTAGATACGAAACCAAAAGCACAATCCATAAAGAAAAAGAATTGAACTTCATAAAAATTAATAACTTTTACACTTCAAAAAGCATTATTAAGAAAATGAAGTCAAGTCAACAAATGGGAAAAGATATTTGCAAATTATATATCTGATAAAGGATTTGTATCCAGAACACATAAAGAACTCTTTTTTTTAATAAATTTATTTTATTTTATTTTTTATTTTTGGCTGTGTTGGTCTTCATTGCTGCACACAGGCTTTTCTCTAGTTGTGGCGAGCAGGCGCTACTCTTCGTTGCAATGCATGGGCTTCTCATTGTGGTGACTTCTCTTGTTGCAGAGCATGGGCTCCAGGTGCATGGGCTTCAGTAGTTGTGGCAAACAGGCTTAGTTGCTTCGTGGCATGTGGGATCTTCCCGGACCAGGGCTCGAACCCGTGTCCCCTGCATTGGCAGGCGGATTCTTAACCACTGCGCCACCAGGGAAGTCCTTAGAATATATAAAGAACTCTTGAAGCTCGATAAGAAAAAGATGAATAACTCAATTTAAAATCAGGCAAAAGATCTGAATAGGCTTTTCACCAATGAAGATACACAAATGGGCAAAAAAAGCACATGCAAAGATGTTCAACATCATTGCTCACTAGGAAAACACAAAATAAAATCACAATGACATATTACTTTACTCTCACTGGAATGGCTATAATCAAAAAGTCAGAAAACAACAAGTGTTGGGGAGGATATGGAAATGTATAAAAACCCTTATACACTGCTGGTGGAAATGTAAAATGCTTCAGTCACTTTAGAATACAATTTGGAAGTTTCTTAAAAATTTTAACGTAAATTTACTATATGATGAAGTAATGGTGCTCCTAAGAATCTACCCAAGAGAAATAAAATATGTCTACACAAAGACTTGCACACAAGTGTTTATAGCAGAGTTATTCATAATAGGCAAAATGTGGAAACAACCCAAATGTCCATCAACTGGTGAATGGTTAACTAAAATGTATATATCCATAAAATGGAATAATATTCAGAAATAAAAAGAAACAAAGTACTGACACATGTTACAATATAAATCTGAAGAACATGCCTACTGAAAAGAAGCCAGACACAAATGACCACATATTGTATGACCCCAGTTATATGAATTGTTCAAAAAAGGCAAATCTATAGAAACAGAAAGTACGTTCGTGGTAAACAGCAGAGTTTAAATAACTTCATCGGTCCAGATTCTAGAAGTCTGAAGAGTAATTTAACCATTAAAAATTATGACAGATGTATATTAATTTGGCAAGATGTTCCCCCCAAAATTGAAAAAGCAAGATACTAATGTAAAATATTATTCTAATTTTTGAAATATATATTTATATGTTCAAAAGAAAAGGTCTGGGCAAGTAAATACCAAAATACTGTTGGTAGTTAACTCTAAGTGGTAGCATTATAAGCAGTTTCATCGTTTTATTCATTTGTATTTCTTAAATTATTCTAAAAACATATGCATTATCTGCATTAAAATATACATATCTATGTGTATATATACATATGCACATATATAAGACAGGCTATCAGAGCAAAAAAGAACCTTAAAACACTCTCTTTAGCACTCTTTGAACCATCTTCCTCACCATAGTGGTGGAGAACCAGCTGATGAGACCTCACTCTTAACCCTTGACACATCTAAAAGAAAAAATTCTTTTTAAGATAAAATTTTAGTAAAGAAAAATATTAATATTTTACTCATTTATTCTCTGTCTTGCTCCAGAAAGGATTTCAGGTAGCTCCTAAAGACAGGTAGGAAACGTTTACATAGCAAATCCTATTTATAAAGCAAAGTACATGTTAGTCACGGTACTCACCCCACCCACACATCCTTGCTGAAAAGGTGCTCAAGATCAGTTCTTCTCAAACTAAACGTGAGCAAGGACTATCCCCACCCCACTCCCATTGCTTCTGTAAAATATATTTAAAAGGGATAATTAAAAAAGAAAATCTAAAAATAGATAAAATTCAACTCTAAGTGTTTTATTATTAGATTCAACAAATAGAAAATTACTCTGTTACATGATTATAAGGTTCTAAACACTTGCTTTCAATTTCTGTACTTATTTCTTCGTAAACCACACTTTGAGTTGCACTCTCCGAAATGGCTCCATTTCGCATTATGGACTCAGAGTTTTTATATTATTCACATGAGATATGAATAAACCAAAGGTAGGCACCTCACCCAAAGGCATATATGAATGGTACAAAAAAGATGAGCAACAGCAATTCTTAGAATGTAAACTCCAAGAAAAGAAGCAGTTATGAACAGGAGCTAAAACTAACAGAACGCTTAAGTAGAGTGATGAATCAGAGTTGGGGCAATGAGGAAATAAGAGGAAACACAGCAACACAGATTGTGGCAAGCCAAGTAATAATGAATAAGCAGAAGAAAAGATTTAGAGAAGTGGAAAAGAATAAGCAAGTCTCTAGGGACTGGAGAAAGTACAGACACTGACTTTTGTACACTGAGTTAACAAAGGAGCATAAAGAGCCACACAGAGTCTCCAGACCCAGTTCTGGTTTCCATGAGGCATCATTCTTGCTCCTCCAGTCCCATGAAATTTCCACTTCCCTTACCATCCCATGAGAATTCTTACAATCAGCCTCTCCAACCACTTATTCCTCCCTGCTCCTGCAACCAAAAGCATTCCTCAACTAGAAAATGAGACTGGAGGCTTACCTTTGGATATCACCGGAGGCATTATTTGAAATATTCAAACTCATGATGAGTCTTCCAACTCTTTCAAAATACCCCACTGTTGCTTAATGATATACTTCGTTATTAATGATTAAAACTGTCCAAGACGTCTGTGGCTTACAGGTTACATGGGCTGAAGTCTGTTAAAACAGTAAACAATATAACAGCAGTTATTTATATGAGTCCTGAGACTAGGGGTGATTTTTCTTTTGTTTTTTGACTTATCTGTATTTTTAAGATTATTCTTTAAAAAACATGTAAATACTTGTATTTTTAAAAGCCACAGTGTTTGGGGACTTCCCTGGTGGTCCAATGGGTAAGACTCCGTGCTCCCAATGCAGGGGGCCCAGGTTCAATCCCTGGTCAGGGAACTAGATCCTGCATGCATGGCACAACTAAGAGTTCACATGCCACAACTAAGAGTCTGCATGCCACAACAAAAGGATTCCACGTGCCGCAATGAAGACCCCACGTGCCACAACTAAGACCCAACACAGCCTAAATAAATAAATAAACATTTTTTTTAAGTTATAAAAAATAAAATAAAAGCCACAGTGTTTTATTTCTTTTTAAATAAGATTAGAAACAAAAATGACAGAACATTAGAAAGAAATTCCTTCTTATAAGAATAAGCTAATACTATTAGATTATTTTAATTTCTCAAATAAAAAGTAATAAAATAGTGACTAATTGTTCTTAAACTGGAAGAGGAATAGGTAGTGCCTATCTCTAGGGCACAGAATTCAGTATGAAAGAAAATGCAGTCCAGGGATGTTTTGGGGTCCCAAAAGACTTTTTCATAAATGAAATATTTTTAATGCAATGTTACAATCAAAGAGGCCAAGGCACTCCCACATAAAAGATCTTACAGTAATTTTTAAAGGCCTTCTCCCAAGGGATTGAAGAGGAAAAAGGAAAGGAGAGAGCATTTGTCACTTACCCTGGCCTTCTCTCCAGAACACTCTTCTACCAGAGATACTCCAAATTATACAGAGTCAACAACTGTAAGTTACTACAGTATGAAGGAATCTTTGGGTAAACATCTCGATAACTAACTCCAAATAGACACAAATATGAAGATCTCACAAGGTCTCTTGGTATCCCCAGCAGAAGTCCAATATCCTAAGAAAGACCATGAGATTTGGTCTCAGAGCCTGCGCGTCCGGAGCCTGTGCTCCGCAATGGGAGAGGCCACAACAGTGAGAGGCCTGCGTACCGCAAAAAAAAAAAAGAAAAAGATGTAATAGAAGAATTGTTTAGTGGGAATTCCCTAATGGTCCAGTGGTTAGGACTTGGAGCTCTCACTGCCAGGGGCCTGGGTTCAATCCCTGGTGGGGAACTAAGATCTCACAGGTCATGTGGCGCAACCAAAAAAATAAAAATTAAAAGGCCAGGACACTGGCCTGAGAGGCCAGGACACTGAGTGATAAATGACCCACCAAGGCACACCATTATGAAAAAAAAAGAATTGTTTAGTAAAATTGTAGGTATACAGGGATAGCTAGAAGATGCCCCCCCCAAAAAAAATCTAAACTGATCTGTCCCTGCTCACAATAAACAACCCTGAGAGAGATCACTGAAAGAAAAGAGACTCAAATAAGCCAACTGAGATGTAGACTCAAACACAGTGCTAGGAACTGACTAATGGCTCCTACAGCCAAACACTAAGGGATCTTCAAAACAGTCAGTGATTCACACAGCTGATGCAGAATAGTTTGACCTAGGACAAAGAAGACAGAACTTTCACCAAGATGGGGGGGGGGGGGATCCCATTTCTCCAGGGACCTAAATACTAAGTTTGGGAATAGTGGTAGACAAAAAAACACCACTATCATTAATCTATTGAGCACCTAGTAAAATGTCAAGCACTGTGTTTGGTATTTTATTTATACATAGAACTATAGAACTCCAATCCTTACAACACTGCAATGTAAAGATTATCCTTTTCAACAGAGAAAACTAAGAGATTAGAAGTAACTTGTCAAAAGACAAATAGTTACAGAACCAAAATTCCAACTCATTACTATCTATCTAACTCTAAAGCGGAAGCTCTTTCTACAAGGTCATTGTTGATACAGTTAAACTATAAATTACCTTACCTGAGGTTCATTATCCTCATTTCAATTACAGAAACTCATCTAATTCAGAAAGTCTTAAATGACTTGCCTAAGGCCAGTCAGCTACTAAGTAGGGGACACCAAGGACTCAATCAAGCTCTTCTGATACTGAGTCCCAAAATCTTTTCATCTTACCACCATGCCCCCAAAGCTCAGACTCCAGAGGAAGTGCCTTCAGAATGGAAGTTTAAGAGTTAGAAGGGACTCTTCCATACTTAAGAGTAATGTACAAGGCTCAAAAGTATATACAAAATGTTTCTATTTTTAAAGTGAAAAAGATGGGGCTTCCCTGGTGGCGCAGTGGTTGGGAGTCCGCCTGCCGATGCAGGGGACGCCCGTTCGTGCCCCCGTCCGGGAGGATCCCACATGCCGCGGAGCGGCTGGGCCCGTGAGCCATGGCTGCTGGGCCTGCACATCCGGAGCCTGTGCTCCGCGACTGGAGAGGCCATGACAGTGAGAGGCCCGCATACCGCAAGAAAATAAAAATTAAAAAAATAAAGTGAAAAGGATGAAACACACACACATATGCATATGTGTCACAACAGGCACAAACAGAACCTCTATTTACCTCCCAGGGAAAGAATTTATACACTTAGGGCCTTAATAATGCCTGCGTTTTTTATTTTGTTTTGATCTTAGGCAGAGAAGTGTGGGAAGAGGTAGTTTACCAAATTTTAACATAGTTGTTTCAATAAAGCTAAATTGAAGGCAACCACCGTTTTTCACTGTATTATTTTGCTATGTAACATCTTCAAATCTGAACGGTCTTCTAGAGAGAAAATGGTCTTCTATAGCTCAGGTGCAAGTTTCATTAACTTCCAGATCACTGAAACAGATACCGTAGTAGGCAGATGGTCCCCATGATCTCTGCCCCCTGGTGTTTCTCTCTTGTATAATACCCTCCCCTTTACTGCGGGCAGAACCTGTGACTTGCCTCTAACCAACAGAATATGGCAAAGGTGACAGGCTGCACTCCCATGATTATATTATGTTATATAAGACTCTATCCTAGCAGAGTGAAGTGACAGGCAACCTCTAGCTGATCGTGAAGAAGCACACTGTCACGCTGTGAACTGCCTACGGAGAGGGCCACATGGCAGGGAACTGCAGGCAGCTCCAACCCACAGGCAGTAAAAAGCCAGATCCCTCGGTCATATAGATGCCAACAGGAAATACATTCTGCCAACAACCTAAATGAACTAGGTAGCAGATTCTTTCCAGTCAAGCCTCCAGATGAGAACACCGCAAGCAGCACCTTGACAGCAACTTAGTGAAACTCTGAACAGAGGGCACATCTAAGCAGTGCCCAGATTCCTGACCTACAGAGACTGAGAAATAATAAATGAGGGCTGTTTGAAGCCACTAAGTTTTTGGTAACTTGTTACACAACAGAAGAAAACTAATATGTATAAGAAGCTTGAAAATGCTTTTACAGGGTTAAATAGAAAAAAAAAAGAGTGACATGTAAACTACAAAATGGGTTCTTACACCAGCCCTGCCTGTGTGTGTCTTTTATAAAGTCTCTTTGTTTTTCTATAGTTTAATTTCCTAATTAATTTACATAACAGAGTTTATAAAAATCCTATCTAAGGTAACTAGATAGAGAAACTAGAAAATCATGGGCAATATTTACAAAAAACAAATAATTACAAAATACAAATGAATAAGGGCAAACCACCAACAGCCACAAAACCTGCACAGAGTGGAGGTATCTACAGAGAAGCAAGCAGAGGAGAATAACAAGTATGCATCTGAAAGGACCCCCAAAGGGTCAACAGACAGTTAATGGGAAGAGCTGTAGAGCAGCTGAGAGCAGCAGCTGAAACTGGCATATGAAACAGGCGTATGGTAAGAGAGTCCTGAAAGGGTTGGTACAGTCCAACCTCACAGACCTTCATAACTGACTGTCAAGTTACTTCCTGGACAGGGGCCCACACTAATGAGAATCAGTAGAGGCTGGAATCAAAACTGAGCAGGGGCTGGGCTTCCCTGGTGGCGCAGTGGTTGAGAGTCCACCTGCCGATGCAAACGTCACGGGTTCGTGCCCCGGTCCGGTAAGATCCCACATGCCGCGGAGCAGCTAGGCCCGTGAGCCATGGCCGCTGAGCCTGCGCGTCCGGAGCCTGTGCTCCGCAACGGGAGAGGCCACAACAATGAGAGGACCGCGTACCGCAAAAAAAAAACAAACAACTGAGCAGGATAGGGGCAATGAAGACAAAGTAAAGACACGGCCCAGACCAAACTGTAGGAGGAAAGAGGACCAGGAAATGTCAGAACCAAGCCACCATAGTTTTTAACACTCACAACAAACAAAAGACAGGGTTCTGTGAAGTTAGAAAAGCTTTACCTGAACCTTGCTCAAAGTTCAGGTCAACTAACCTTTCATAAAAATAAGCAACAAAAGGGCTTCCCTGGTGGCGCAGTGGTTGAGAGTCCGCCTGCTGATGCAGGGGACACGGGTTCGTGCCCCGGTCTGGGAAGATCCCACATGCTGCGGAGCGGCTGGGCCCGTGAGCCATGGCCGCTGAGCCTGCGCGTCCAGAGCCTGTGCTCCGCAACGGGAGAGGCCACAACAGTGAGAGGCCCGCGCACCGGAAAAAATAAATAAATAAATAAGCAACAGAAAAGTAGAGTGGTCAAATCCCATACAAACATAAGGAAATAGAGAGTAAGGAACAGAATGGACTCCTATAAATGAAAGAATGACGGAAAGACATGCCCACAAAACAGATGAAAATCATAACTTACTACTTCAAAATGAGCTACAAGACATTAACAAAATGGTATAAGGCATAAAAGAATAGGAATCAGAATTATAGACTGAATAAAGCACTTAAATACCGAACTGACTTCTCTTAAATAAATAAATAAATAAATATCAGAAAAATTAAAATAAATTAAAATAAAATTTTTTAAAAACCTCAGAAATAAGGTGAAAAAGATCAGAAAGAATTAGAAATTAAAAATCATTTCTGCAAGGAACATTAAATTAGAGGGAACAAGAGTAAATACACATGATCAAAAAAATGCCTTTAAGGACGTATGAAACAAAAAAGAAGTAAAATTTTTAAATAAAAATTTAAGAAAGAGATCAAAATGATTCAAGAGAAAGTGAAAAAATACTGAAAATAGGCAAAGAATAACCAACATGCGGACAGCAGGAGTCCCTGAATAAGAAGATCAAAGCAAGGGAAACAGAACAAACACTAAAAACTGTAATTCAAGAAAACTGTCCTGAAATACAAAGATTTTAATCCACACTTTCAACAAACTGCGTATCTGAGAATATTGACCCAGCACAACCAACAAGACACATTCTAAGATAATTACTGGACTTTAACAAAAATTTGTACACAAATGTTCATAGCACCATTGTTCATAAATAGCCAAAAAGTGAAAACAACCCAAATATCCATCAATTGGCCAATATATAAAAATATGAAATATTATTCAACGATAAAAAGAAATGAAGTACCGATATATGCCACAACGTGGATGAACGTTGAAAACATTATGCTCAGTGAAAGAAGCCAGATGTAAAAGGCCATATATTGTATAACTCCATTTATGGGAAATTTCCAGAATAGGTAAATCTATAGAAACAGAAAATAGACTTGAGGTTATCAGAGAGTAGAGAGAGGGGGAATTGGGTCTGACTTCTAGCAGGTTATGAGGATTCTTTTGGCGGGTGGGGCGGGGGGGGGGGGGTCGTGATGGAAATGTTCTGGAATTAGATAATGGTGATTGCTGTACAGCTTAGTGAATATAGTGAAAACCATCAAATTGTATACTTTAAAATGGTGAATTTTATGTTAGATGAATTATATCCTAATATTTTACATTCATCATCATAAAAAATATATCCTGTCTATAGTCTCCTTTGGCAAACTCTTATTTTCTTCCTCTCGTTGATATCAGTGCTTGATGACACTAGGGCTCAAGGTCCTACCTGTATTTTAGGAAAACTAAATAAACAAAGGGCCAAATGTAGGTCTGTGGTTGAATTTAAACTATGATGGGACTTCTATGCTATTGAATATAGCGGAGATGTAGCAAAATCTCCCTTTTCTTCCATCAGAATGGAAAGAGGAAATGATGAGGTAGCTAAAGTAGCTAGGTACAGTAATGAAAATATCAGTGGAATATTTTCATTTAGCTAAGCCAAAGAAATGCAGAGTCCCCACATAATGTTCCTAGCTTTACTTGAAACTTTCCTATGAAATGTTGCAAGTTAAGATAAACAATAATTTGGCTAATCTATATGTGTAATTAAAAATTTCTTATGATATGCCATCAATGTTAGCCTTTCTCTTCAGCCTCAGTATCTGTGCAACTCTTTAAATAATGCTTTCCATTTGAAAATATCAAATTCATCATTATCTATAAACAAACTGATACCCCAAAGCCACTCCCTGCTGTCGTCATTCCTACTGTGGCAAACAACCCTTCTCCAGGTATCATGCTCAAGACTCTATAAATTATCTCATTTCACTCTACACCAACCCCAAGGGAAGATACCATTAATACCCCCATTTTATACCAGGGGGAAACTGGGGCTTAAAGATATTCAGTCACTTGTCCAAAGTCACATCTCTAGGAAGTGACAATGTCACTATTCAAAGCCCCATCAATCCACCTAGATTGAGAAATCCCTAACTCCAGAGCTCTGCTGTGTGCCTTGCTATTGACCTTCAAGACATGGCTCACCCCATGGCTTCCCTTGCTTGTCAGGGAAGCACTCTGCTCGATACTGCAGATATCTTTAAACACAGATCATTCTTTCACACTTCCAAACTAACTACAAGTCAGGGTCTTCTTAATGAGAGATGACTCAGACTTCCAGTGGATTTCTCAATCCAGATGGAATTTCCACTGGGCTGGGCCAAAACCAGGGCATCCTTTGGGCAGTGATGGATAACAGCAAACTTTAAATCAGCTTTTTATGTTAATGTATTAATATCTTAATCTTCTCCTGGTAGTGAAGTTGGACTATTCTCACCATTCCCACTGAAATAGATGAGGGGATGTTATGTATATCATTCTTCAATAAGTTTTTAGAAATAGGTAATAGGGCAACTGAGGCCAAGAGATCAATGGTCTGGACATCCCGAGAATAAGTAAGACAATTCTGCTTTTAGATTTCACAGTCACCACTGGTACTAAGTTTTCCTACCTCACATCTGAGTCCTGTGGGTCATCCAGAATGTAGTCATCTCTCTCAATGTGTCTGCACAGATCAAGGGAAAGGGGAGGGGTGGGGAGGATGAAAAGATAAAAGCTATTATTGAGCACTTCCTACATGCCAGACACTACATTAAACATACCTGATCTCAGTGAATCTTCCCAATAACCCTAGAGATTATTATGCACATTTCACAGATGAGAACACTGAGGCTTGGAGAGGTGGAGTAACTTGTGTAAAGATATCCAGTGGGAGGGTTAGAATTCAAGCTCATATTCTGGCTGACTCCTAAATCCATCCTCTTTCATAACTCAGTGCTGTCTTCAACAGTAACCACAACTGTGTTGTGGGTGTCTACCAGCAAACTTACACATTTCACCTTTAAAAAAGATGTTTGGTTCTTTCATGAAAACAAGACCAAGACAAATGGGCTGAGGCAATCAAAGTATTTTAGAATTAAATGCGACTTTAGAGACCAAGTCCATCCTCCTTATCTGACAGATAAGGCATCTTAATGCCCAGGGAGCTTAGGTGATTTGGCTGAGGTCACAGAGCTAATAAAAGCCTCCACCAGACTAATACAGAAAGCTCCAGACTAAAATTACTGCCTTCATCTTTCCTTTTAGAAGGTTGCACTGCCTTTGTTTCCTCTTCATTTCAAGGGAAACCAAGTGCATCTCCGACTCTAGGCTTTTGTTATTAGGCACTAACTGTTCAATAAAACAAGTGACAAAAAATGGTAGGTTCTTTTCACCAAGATTATGAAAACAACTATAAAACATCCATGTGTAATGTCTTCAAAAGAGTCGGACACCTAATGAAATTGCTTCTCAAGTAAACTTACGCAGTTATCATTGGAGATCTGCTTAAAACGAAAAAAAAGTGTATTTGCCTAGGATAAATATCACATGGAATAAAGAAAGAACAGTCAAAAGTAGGCTCCACTTCTGCAGAAATTGCACAGCCCGGGAAAAACTCACAGCCCTCTCTTCCGTCTCCTAAGAGTCCTGGCGTAGAAGCTACAGAAGACAGCCTAGCATAAACTCTTTCTTTGGTTTACCGAGCATTTATAGAATGTCTAGGGCGTGGCTGGCATTTTTATTAAAAAGGGATGAAAAAGACCTGGTCCTTGTCCTCGAAGGACTTATTGATTCTTGAGAGGAAAAGAGCCCAACAGTCCGGAGTTGTAAACCTAAGAAGCTCCAAGTCCAGGCCCTCTGGGTCCTGCCCTCTGGTCCCTACCCAGGCCTCTGGGTACTGAGGCAGCGGTCTTTGGCTAGAATGCTTCAGGAAGATCTTCCTCAGGTGGGCGCAGAGGCCCGGCGCAAGGCGCTGGAGGTGTGTCCCCACAGACGACACGAACTGCCACAGAACAGCCTCAAACTAACTCGGGGTCCCCATAACCCTCACTGCAGCCCCCTATACCTTTCCTCTGAACACCTCCCAGCCCAAATCTTTCCCCTCCAAAACCCCACACCCGGTGGTTACCTCAGGGGTCTCCCGTGATCCAGACTGCACACCCAAGACCCCTGGGGCAGCTTCGGATCTCAAAGGCAGAAAGAGGCCCAGGCAGGCCGCGGGGTCAGAGCAAAAACTGTTGGAACACGACGGACTCTAGGACCCAGGGAGGGGGAACAAAGAGCACAGGGGGGAACAAGAGGGAGACCAGCCCCAGGGAGACGGTGTTTACAACTGCCACTTCCGGAGACTCGACTTCCCTGGCAGACCTCCGCAGACTTTCGCCGGCCGCGGCCCCGCCCGGGCCCGGGCGGCCCTTTTCCTCCCGCCTCCGGCAGCCGACAGCTCCAGGATACACACTCAGAGAACGCCGGGCTCCGATTGGAAGATCCGGGCCCGCGAAGCTGCGCGGCTTTTCTGGAAGGCGACCGGCGCATGCGCTGTTGCTGGGGAGCGGCGCGCTCGCGGCCGCGCGCGGTTCCGCGCCTGGCGCGGGCCCTCCCCCCTTCTACCTCCGCCTGAGGACCCCTCGGCCCACGTTCCAGTGTGGTGGTCTCAGTGTGAGGTGCCCGGGTCACCGTCCCAGAATCCCCAGAGAGCCGACTGAAAAGGCAGGTTTCTAAGCCCTAGCTCCTTTTCCCCGCCTACTGAATAAAAATCTTAAGAGGACTGATCCCAGATGCTGCATTTTTAAGCTGGCTGCCCTGCTGATCCGTAGGGTCACGACAGCCCCTCGGGGTCCGTGGTCTGGTGCCAGAACCGGGGGAAATTCCCTGGGCTCGCTTCTGCACCAATGATTGGTTTCCCGCTGTTCAGACCGCTATCCGCCTGCCGGACGCTTCTAGTCCCCTCCTCCCATCCCCATTGTATCCCAGCTGGTGGTTGTAAACGGGGACGCAAAATGCGGGCCAGCGCGCTGATGCAGCTGCAACGCCTTTCGTTATAAATATTACGTAACGAGGTACCTCACGAAAAAGTCCTCAGAGCCTTAGCAAGTGCCCCAGCTCCCTTTCCTACCCTCGTCCTCTTCCCCACCCCCGACACACACACATATACACACGCACCCCACGCACGCTTTCCTCGTTGATAATTTATACTTTGGTTTCTCCTGGTAGCCGCTGCCGCCTCAGGGAGATTGGAAAACCAAATCCTCTTTTGTTCCTTGGCTTTTGAAAGCCTGTTCCCCAAAGAACAATGCAAATTGGCGGGATATTGACTCAGGATTTAATCTTCAACACCACCTCCTCCTCCTCCCGAAAAGGTGTTTGATACAAAAAGAACCTTTTATGCCAAAATAGTGCCTTGTGGCTTGTAATCAACCTGAAACCAGGTGTAGGGGCCGTCTTTCCCCTGTCTCCCTGGGATTAAAACCTCCTTGATTCCTGTAACACTGAAACTCTGAAACTTTAATTGGCTTGAGTTTAGTCATTTAGATTAGGAAAGGAGGCACATCCCGCTTCAATAGTTTAGTCAGAAAGAGGATAATTTCTTCAAAGAAAAGAGTGTATGGAAAGAAAAGAGCCCACTCTAACACTTAGAAACGAAATGGACAATTACAACAGACTAATGATATTAGGACTTTTTTTACTTTACAAGTTTTAAATAATATAAAATTTTTATTTGTGTTTTAGCAAAATCACAAAATTGAATATTGTACAGCAAGAAATGCCAAATGTACTATACTGCACACTTTTTTAAAATGAAAAAAATAGATGCAGCATGAAGACTTGCAATCTTCATTTATTTGTTCATTCAGCATTTATTGAATACAGACTATATACCCAGCCCAGAACTAGGTGGTAGAAATGCAGGATACATGATATAGGTGCAGTGGGATTCAGAAGAGGGAAGTATAATATCAACCCTGAACAACCAGGAAGGCTTTATAGAGAACTTTGAGTTCAGTCTGGGAAGGTAGTTATAGATTCACCAAGTTAAAAGGAATTGGAAGACATGGAAGCTGCAAACAGGGCAGGAAACAGCAAGAGGCATTTGGAAAACTGAGCAAAGCTCTGTGTGCGGTCTTGGGGTAGCGGATGTGGGGAGTAAGATGTCAGGCTGGAGAAGTAAGCAGAACCCAGATCACAGAGGGCCGTCTAGGTCCTACTTAGTTTACCAAGCAACAGAGCTAAATGAAGGATGTTGAGCAGAAAAGTTCTAATAATTAAACAATAAATCAGACTGTTATAAAATACTTGGAGGTTTTCTGTGTTTTTCTAGTAGTTACAAGGTCAATTCTTTGTTGTCTCTTGTTTGCCTAACATGCTATACTACTTAGGAAAGCTGTACAGAAAGATGCTGTCTAGCCCACTTCTCTTTTATCCTCGAATCACAATTCTCATCTCATTCTTTCTCTTGAGATATTATTCGATCAACCACCCCCACTCTTCCAAAACAGATTTCGCAGTCAATAATGACCTCATTACCAGATCCCAGGCTCCTTGAGTTCGCTGACACTTTGATCACTCTCAGATTTCTCTCCAGCATAGGTGAGACTCAGGGTTTAGGCAGCTCTCTGACCTCTTTGCTGCTGCTCAGGAAACCATTATCACCTTGCCCCTTAAGGGGATACTTTCTCAGTTTTGCCCTCAACCTTCACCATTTACCACAGTAGCTTTCTTGGTGATGTTGTCCATTCCTGCAAGTGTGAACTCTGGGTCCACAACTTTCAATTCTTTATGTCCACCTCACATACCATAATATCATAAGCTGAGCTCTGATCTTGAATTTTTAACTCTCATTTGAACAGTGTCATCTTAATGTCTGTCAGTATTGAGTTCAATATATCTAAAACTTAATGATCTTTCTCAACTTCTCACTGGAGCCCCACAAACTGCTCTACCCATTTATAAAACTTATAATCTCAGACACCCAAACAAAAAAAACTTAGAGAATCTTTCTTCTCTCTCAGGCTCTCAATTCCTTCATCTGAGAATTACTAAATCCTACTTACTTTGTCTCCTGTGGCCTTTCTATGCCTCCTACTAATCATCTTCATTTATTTGTTTCCTTATTGTTTCATATCCAGACACTTGTAATCAGGACCTTTGCTGTGGCTGACGCAAGTCACCCACCTCCTCCTTCTGTGCAAATTCTCAACATTTTTACAAGTTGACAACTAACATCTAGGGCATTTTTAAACCAGGAAATATGAGAGGAGAAGATCAAAAAATAGAAAGAAATCAAAAGCAGGCCTAAGGGCACATATGCACCTTTCTGACACTAAGGGAGTGTTATGAGCTGATTGTGTACATGTGAGCCGCAGGGTTTTTTTGTTTGTTTGTTTTTTATTGCGGTACACGGGCCTCTCACTGCTGTGGCCTCTCCCATTGCAGAGCACAGGCTCCGGACGCTCAGGCTCAGCGGCCATGGCTCACAGGCCCAGCCGCTGCGGGGCACATGGGATCCTCCCGGACCGGGGCACGAACCCGTGTCCCTTGCCTCGGCAGGCGGACTCTCAACCACTGTACCACCAGGGAAGCCCCGCAGGGTTTTTTAACACCAGATGAGCCACATCCTTTTGACCCTAGTAACCTCTCCCAGAAGGTTCAAACACCAGGTGCTTGATTATTACGCTGCTTTGGTATCAATTGTTAGAACTGCGAGCCCTGCCATAATTGTTGCTCTTGGTGGCCCTGGTTCTTTGCTCCTTCAATCCCCATACTGTGTGCTACAACGGAAATGATCCTTCTGAAGCATAACTCTGATTACATTACCCTTCATTAATTCTTTTAATGGCTCCTCAGTCCTTACTGGATAAAACCCATACTTTTCCTTCATCCATCAAGGGCCCTTATTCTTGTCCCTACCTGCCTTTCCAGCCTTACCTTCTCTTATCTCACAATAAATCTTCCCTCTCATTCACATTAGCAACAGAAAACACAAATAAATGTAATAAGAGGTAGATATGGACTTATATTAAAAGTTTTAAGATATATAGGCTAATATAAAAGATAACATTATTTATTAGACATATGTGCCAAGCACTATGCTAAGTGGTTTCACATGTATTCTAATTTTTTTCAAAAATGCATATGTCTTCATCCTTTGTTCCGATAGTAAATACATGGTCATTAAGTCAGGGCAATTTTTTTTTTTTTTGCAGTACGCGGGCCTCTCACTGTTGTGGCCTCTCCCATTGCGGAGCACAGGCTCCGGACGCGCAGGCTCAGCAGCCATGGCTCACAGGCCTAGCCGCTCCGCGGCATATGGGATCTTCCCGGACCGGGGCACGAACCCGTGTCCCCTGCATCGGCAGGCGGACTCTCAACCACTGCGCCACCAGGGAAGCCCAAGTCAGGGCAATTTTAAAAGTAAAATTCTCCCCCAAGTCCTACCTTCCCAGTCTAGATTTAAAAACTGTTAGGAATGTATTACATTTCTAATATAACATTTTGATGCATAAATAAATACGTTTTAAAGAAGGCACATTTGTTCATTTATTTCTATATTTACACAAGTGTGCATACACACAATAGTAGCAGACACTGCTTTTCCATTTCCTACACCATCCTTGCTGACAGCCTTAATCTGTTTGCAGCAGTAATAGGTAGAACTTCAGGAGATGAATGGTCTGATCTATCCTATTTCCTCCTGCTAGCTACTGGCTCTCCAAAGCTCCCTGGTAGCTAGGGTTGGCTGTGTTACCAGTTCTGAACAATGAAATGTAAGGGCACACCTACTGAGGTGAGAATAAAAAGAGCCTTGATTCTCCATGACACTCCTTAGTTTCTGATCCAATCCTGGACTTCCTTCTGACACAAACGATTAATGGTCTTAGAATTCAAGTCTGTGCTAGTCATGTTTTCTGTTATTTGAAGCCAGTGGTGTGCTGATTTCCTTGATGTATACTAAATACTGCCACTGTGGCTAATTTCAAGCAACCAACATGCAGTCTCTTGACTGCAGAGTTCAGAAGAAATATGTACATTTGGCTCTCAAGAGTCCTGTGGGAGCCAGCTCCAGCACATCATTGCTATTGATAGGTAGATAAGTAGGTAGGTAGATTTTTTTTTAACTTAACAATACAGCTTTAATACATTTCTATGTTAATATGAAAAAATATACCTTTTTATGGCTGTATTGTAATCCATTTTATGAATGCCTATAATTTATCCCATCATTTAAGTTGTTTCTGCTTTGTTTCTTTACTTAAAAAATAAAAATAAAACACTGTCTCCAAAGGTATACTTTGCATATTTGTCTTTTTTTTTGGCCGCGCCATGCAGCATGTGGGATCTTAGTTCCCCAACCAGGGATTAAACCCACGCCCTCTGCAGTGGAAGCGTGGAGTCTTAACCACTGGACCGCCAGGAAAGTCCCACATATTTGTCTTTTTAAAGTCATAGTATAAATACCTAGAATAGAAATTGATGGATAAAAGGATAAGCATTGAAAACCAAAATCGATATAATTACCTTTCCCTATGGTAAATACAGTAAGTCCCCTACATACGAACCTTCAAGTTTCAAACTTTCAAAGATGCCAACATGCATCTGGTTCCAACAAGGAACCAGAACCTGTGCCATCAACGTCAGGCGTGAGTGAAACTGCAGCCTGCCCTCCATCCCCTATTGTTGATGATCCTTCAGCTCTACCATCTCCCCCCTCCTCTCCCTCCTCCAGTCAGTGACTCTTCTTGCCTGTTCACTCAATGCCAGCCCCTGTAAGCCAGCTGTTGTACTGTACGACTGTACTTTTCAAGGTACTGTACTGTATGATTAAAAAACGTTTTCTTTATTTTTTGTGGTTTTTTTATGTATTATTTGTGTGAAAAGTATTATAAACCTATTAGAGTACAGTACTATATAGCTGATTGTGTTAGTTGGGTACCTAGGCTAACTTTGTTGAACTTACAAACAAATTGGGCTTACGAATGTGCTCTTGGAATGGAACTCATTCATGTGTAGGGGACTTACTATAATAGTGGGACTAGACATACTTTCCTGTACTTTTGTTAGACAATTCTGGGACCAAACAAAAATAACCTTGTGGCTTGCTCCAGTTGACACTTTTTCCTGGAAGATAAGGCTGTGAACTTACTAAACAGATTACTTATGAAGGCTAACAGTTTATTTACCAAGAAATTATTCAAAACCATTGCCTTGGGGCTTCCCAAGGCTTTACCAAGAAATTATTCAAAACCATTGCCTTGGGGCTTC